ATTACATTTTTCTTGCTTTTTGTTTGATGTTAATTTTTTCGTGAATTTAATCAAGTTCTTTAAAATGAATTCTTCAAAAATACTTACGCAACTTTGGTAAAGTTTGACTGCGTAGACGTGCGCTCGTTAAAGTGTTAATGTTCATTCTGATTCGTTAATGGAAAATGCAAGTTTGAAACAAACAAACAAACAAAATACAAAATTCAGATAAATAGTTAGAAATAAATAATAAATATATTATAATGAATCACACACGTATTTTCGTATAGTTTTATCATTAATATCATCCCCTCACTCCGCCTCCTCAGTTGCATAATATTTACTCTAAGTGCATCCTCCTATAATGCATTAAAATGCAAATGAAAAAAGTTTCCCTTAATTCAAGAATTTCTTTTATCGTTTGTCGTGTAATTTTTGTGAATAGCATAATCTGAGTATTATGCTATTTGCATAGTACACGCATGACGGAATCACGTATAAATATATTTACAAGGTATGGTGTGGGAAGTATGTGAATGTTAGTGTAATAACGGTGGACGATTGCTATACTGAGCATCATTATTCGTTTTCTACTATCTATCTTTCATTTTTTTTTTCCTTTTCTTTCTTTCTACGAATGAACGTAGTTATCCTATCGCTTATGCAAATATCATCGGGCCTTAATCAGACGATAAAGTTGCTTCGTTATACGATGACGAAATTTATCGCGAATTCTCAAGTATCTCTCTTTCTCTCTGTTTCTCACCGATGAATTGCTTGGAATTTTTGTATTTTGCGAAATCGACAAGAAAAAAGAAATAAAGACAGAATAAGGATAATATTGATTGTACCTGTGATATGCTTTGTAAGGAAAATATTAATAATTTAAAAAATATTAAATACCTCTATTAATGCATTAATTTTTAGTATTAAACTTAATTAGACAAAAAATAATAATTAATTAAATGAATATTATATAGAAATGTATAAAATATTATTAATAATTAAGTTTCTGTGTCATGTCGTCCGAAAAAAAAATATATAAGAATATAAATGAATTATTGAATTTAGTATAAATGCAAGTTATAATTTAAAAAATATTAAATA